AAGCGCTAGAACAATTGAGCAATACTCACCTATTTATTGAAACTGTTAGTTGCCTGACCAGCCTTTCTGTCTGTCTTATAGGTGCACCTGGCAACATATAATTGTGTTTACCATGAACGATTAACATCTTTCATCCATAATATCTAATATACATCAAATTATTACATAAAAGAGTACCGTAAGGGGTTTGCGCATCGGTCACACTCGCATTATGTAACTGGCCCTCTCTGATGAAGAAGATCGCAGGTGGTTCAGAATAACAGATTGTGTACGTTGGGAAACCAGTTACCAGGATTTTAGTTTTCTGTTTTCTTCTGAGTAAAGTGCATAGATTTAATTGCTCTGAAATTCACTTCCCTCATGTTTCTCTCGTATTTTAGGGCATGACGGCGGCTCCTTTAACCTCCGAATCCGAAGGAGAGCGCAGTACCACGAACTATATTCACTCATCGCCTGTGCATAATCGAAATCCAAACGAAAATGCCACAACAGTGGATGGAAAGAACTTACAGACCTACATGGATGGCAGTCAGTTTGGCTTGAATAAAATTAATAATACAGCGGCGCACGCTGTTCCGAATTCACACATTCACACACACAGTAAACCGAAAAAAGGTAGGTCCATTAAATTTCATTACATTTACTACTTGAACTACGTGTCATGATTCACTTTTCTGTTCAAAGCAGTCTTTCACACTGATTCCAAAAAATGACCAAACATAATTGCTATTTCTAAAAATGTGTTTATAATAAAGGTTTGGGCTATCCTTTACAATAATCTATAAAACATCGTCTTTCTTCAGTTACTTGTTCAGCTAAACAAAGTTTAATATGATCTCGTAGTTGCTTTCTTACTACACTGCAAACATTTTGCTTTCACAGCAGAATGAAAGTGATGGCGCTTGCCGTTTTAGTACGTTTGTTTCACGATTAATATCGGCACAGAAGGCGCATCTTCATCCTATTTGAGGAATAAGATGAAAATGATATCACAGGCTTCTCGGTTTCAAGTTCCTCACAGCAAAATCGTGAATGAGATATGCCAGCTATCTGTGTTTTACTTCCGCATGCTAATCTCAAGCCAAATGTAGTGTTCACATTATCGTTTTTCCCTATGATGAGCTGACATCCAGCTTGGCTGCTAAACTCATTCTAGAATATTGCTTCACAAACGTAGATAAGTCAATCAGTAATCCGTTCATCGAATGTTTTGGGTCATGATGTTACCACGTATGATAACATACCACGATAGGGGCACAACGGTGTATAGTTCGACTGTTTTATTAGCACTGCTTGTTTCCGAGCTGGTGATATATGTACAGATATATATATATATATATATATATATATATAAAC